CCCCCCGTCCCGCCCACAGAATAGAAGCCCAGGGAGTGCCTCTGTTCTGCAAGCTAGAACTTTGTAACAAAGCATGCCCCGATGTCAGTTTTTGCGTTATTTGATAGAAAAATGTTCATTCTTTCATTTTTCATCGGTTTTAGTTCATTTTTCATAAAGTGAGCCTCGATTTTCAAAGAAGAATTCTAACCCAGGGGGTGGGCTTCTATTCTGTTTGTGTGGGGGAAGGGGGGTTACAGAGTATTTTTGTTCGATAGGCAAAAGTACTTTAGAGTGATAGAAAAGATTATGTCATTCACCGTTGATGTCTTGATAGAAAACTCCGCCCGTCGCGATACCACTGGCATCGGTAGATAAATGGAGGGAAAATCCATCGACGGGAAAACGAAGAAAAAGAGGAGCAGTGGTGAGCAATTGTTTAAGAGTATGAAATACTTTCCATTGTTCATCGGTCCATTTGAATAGATGCCGTTTGTCTCTGGTTAAATGGGTCACTTTATGAATCGGCGCAGCGACATGGGCAAACTTGGGAACAAATCTACGATAGTAGGCAAGACCGTCAAGAAATTTATTTGCTTGTTTAAGTGTACGTGGTTTCTGCAGATCCAGAATCGCTTGTATCGTCTCATTTGTTGGTGTAATAGACGTTTCAGAGACTATATGATCGAGTGCAATAACTTTTCCAACAGCTAGTTCACCTTTAGATGCATTGAGGACGAGCTTTTCCATCGTAAGAATGTCAAAAGCCAACCGCAGATGATTTATATGTTCATCGAATGTTTTTGAACAAAGAATGATATCATCGAGAAAGACGTGACAAAAATCGCGATATGGTTTCATAACCTTGTACATAGTTTCTTAAAATCCGGCAGGAGCGTTTTGTGGTGCACATTGAGAGTACTGGAAATTCATAGTGGCCTTGAGAGACAACAAATGCCGTCTTCAGACGATCGGTCGGAGGTATACGAAATTGGTGATATCCCGATTTCAGATCAAGTTTGTTGAAATTCTTGTAGCACTTCCCAAGCTCTTGTAGTAAATCTTCAGCGTGCAGAAATGGACTGGCATCAGGAATGGTAATTTTATTTACATCATCAAGTAGATGTTTTGCCAATAGATCTAGAGTTTCTTGTAAATGCAACGAAGAAGAAGGAGGAATAGAATTAAGAACGGCGGTAAATTTCAAAGGTGACGGTTGATAAAGTTTTTTGGATTATTAAAAAGGCGCTGATGTAGTTGAGGATGAGTGAAGATGTGCGACAAGACTTGACGATTTTTCTTCTCGTTATAACGACAACAGAGAGCAGAAATTCTATCGAAGTAGCCCTGTTGATCAGCATGGTCACTAAGCAAATATCCAAAACAGAAATATTGTGGTATGCGCTGAGGAAAATCAGACGTGTTGGTGACAGAAAGAGATGAATGATGATGTTGAATAGTAACAATTTTCTGAGAATATGAGAGATGAGAACTCTCAAGGAAAATAGAAGTTGGAATAAAGTATGCAGATAAGGATGAAAGTGGTGAAGAAACCAAGATCGATACTGTTGAATGTGGAGGAATCAAAGTAGCATGATGTGAATGAAGTGGCACAAGCGGACGGCGAAGGTGATCGTCAACATGAATTGTTGTACAACGGTCATCAATTTTCAATAAAAAATGTTGAAGCTTAACATCGATGTTGGCATTATAGATGGTCATGAAGTCCACGCCCAGAATAAGGTCAATGCAAAGATTTTCAACGATGAGAGCATAAAAGATAATCAGTTCTTGGCCAAATTCCATAGAAAGTTCCACTAAACCTTTAACTTGTAGAGGCATGACGCCATCGGCGAGTACAACTGGACGCGATGTTGCATCAATATAGCGGAAATCAGGCGTACATTGAAAGGCTTTGATACTGATACATGTGGCAGAAGCTCCGGTATCAATGAGAGTATTAAGTGGTGTGTTATTAATTGGTAGTGTAGTATACAGAAGAAAAGGTTTGGATGGTTTAAGAAATGAGGTATTGGAGACAGTACCATTCGACACTGAGTCCAGCTTTAAAAAGGACAGTCGCGAGCTGAGTGTTCTGACTTAGAACACCATTGACAGACACGGGTAGGAGTTTGTTGAGATTATTGAGCTTGTTCTTGCTGATTGGTAGAAACGGAAGAAGAAGAAGACATAAGCGGAGGAATACTGTGTGATGGCGATAGATGTTGTAGTGGAGAAGGAGGTTGGTAGGCGAAGAGATGTTGCTGTGGATTACGATGAGGATTGTAGTAGACACCAGTTTGCCGATTATCAAAACATTGTCGCGAGAATGTTTGATTGTGCCTATAGGATGAATTCGATGACAAATATCGAGGTGAATAATTAGTATTGCTGAGAAAACGTAAATTATTACGTGATGTGTTGACGTTTCAATAGTTGTTATTATTATGATTGTTATACGGTGTGGATTGATGGCGATTCGAGGATGAGTAAGGAGGACCCATGGAAAAAAATGGCGAAAAATGATGTAATTTACATCAATTTAATGAAAAACTTTCCACAGAGACATGATATCGAAAGTGAAAAACATGCCATGATTTAGCATGAAAAGGACACTCTAAAGCAAGTTTTTGAAACTAATGAAATTTTTTCCAAAATCTCATTCCATGATAAAAAGTAAATTTACACGAATTTCACATGATTACAATTATTAAAACTGTATCAAAATCACTATCTTTATCTCATGCAAAAAAAATGAAAAAAATGCGATTTTTGACCATGAAAAGGATACTTTAATGCATGTTTCTGAAACTCATGCAATATTTTCGAAAACTTCATTCCATGAAAACAATTAAATTTACATGAATATTACGCCATGAAAAATACATGGAATCCATCATCTTTATCTAGTGGATAAAAAATGCCATGATTCAGCATGAAAAGGACACTTTAATGCATGTTTTTGAAATTCATGCAATTTTTCGAAAATTTCATTGCATGAAACCAATTAAATTTATATAAATATCATGCCAAGGAAATCATTAACACACATCAAAATCTTTTCCTGAAAAGAATTAAACTTTAATGAAAGCCATGGCCTTATAACAATGAAAAAATTCTCCGCCTAAGCCACCAGCAGACTAAGGTGTAGGTGGCATCTGAGCCTTTCACAAGGCTCAGGCTGGTTGCCCTTCGAGGGGCTGTGCGATGAACTCTTGAGAAGTTCAATTTACTCTAGAGCCATGTAAACTGGCAAAAACTTAGAGTAATAAAATTTATGATTTCTAATAGAAAAAAGCAGGGCACGACATCTTATCTGTCCTTACACATTTCGTTTTTCATAAAACTAAAATTTGTAAGGACAGATGTGGAGATAAGGTTCAAATTCATCAGGTTTTTTGATGAATTATCAAATTCATGAAATGAAAATGATGCAAAAGGTAAGAAAGCAATGCTCTAACTTTCCTTTTTTCAGGGTAATTAAAGTTATTAAATGAAAGTGAGGAAAAGTAGTGCAAAGATTTTGATTTTTAGGTAGGGATCAAAATCATTGGTAAGAATAATGCAAAAGTAATGAGAGTAATATAATCACTTTGATTTTTCCAGAGTAATCGAAGTTATGAAATGAAAATGATGTAAAAGTAATTGGAAGTAATGTAATGATTTTGATTTTTTCGAAGTCCTCAAAATCATGAACTGGAATTGATGAAAAACTAACGAAAGTAATGTAATGATTTTGATTTTAGCAGAACAATCAAAGCCACCAACTGAAAATAGTTCGAAACTAATCAAATTAAAGTTATGACTTTGATTTTTCAAGGGTAATGAAAGTCATGGAATAATAGGGAGGAAAAGTGATAAAAGTCAGGTAATGATTTTCATTTTTGCGTAGTCATCAAAATCCTGGAATGAAAATGATGCAAAAGTGATGAAAGTACTGTTATTATTATAATTTTGCATAAAAGAATCAAGATTACCTGATAAAAATGATGAAAAAGAAATAAAACTAATGCAAGTAATTCAGTTTTTTTAAAATAGACAAATTAATGCAGTGGAATTGATGTAAAAGTAATGTAATTAATGCAGCGATTTTAATTTTTCAAGAATAGACACTTTAAGCCTCCCTTCCCTCAAAAAAAATCAATTTTTGTCAAATTTATGGATTTTGTGATTTATAACTCATTAGATAGAGCAAAGTGTCTACTCTCGAATGCACTATAATTGATTGATTTTATGATGAGCTTTAAGAATATTACATAAATTTTTCTAAACCTCCATATTGGAAAAAAGCTTGTTAGCGCAGCTCCTTCGGAGCTGAAATGTGGAACTCACGTATACCTTTAGCTTTGTTACCTGACGCATCATCTGTATACTGAAAGACTTCTCGTCTACTATAGTTGTTTTCCTTGAGAATCGATGAAAAGAGCGGGAATTTATTATTTATTTGTATATTAAAAATAAATATTAAAAAAGAAAATATTGTTTTTTCATTTAAGCGAGCTCGATTTCATTTATAATTATTGCTATATACTCGATAATAATCTTTTTTTTTGTTTTCTAATTTGAAGTTATTTTTCTCCATCATCGACTATTTGATGAATACGGTTATTGCAGTCTGTAATTGGGGGGGGGGGTATGTGTATGTAATGCTCTTTTTTGGTTGCTATGGTCTGTAAGGGGACCTGTCTGTAAGGGGAGGGGGATGGGGGGAGCCGCAAAACCTCGAACTTAAAACTTACACTCACTATTTTCTTCGAAAATATACGTGAGTTCCACAAAATAAGGCTTTTAAAAACTTATTTTCCGTTTTTCTCAAAATCAGTTTTTTTGAGTATACCGTTTACGCGGGCACGCCTTTCTTAACCCTTTAACGGGCGGTGGGACATATATGTCCCACTTTTTTATTTTTGATCATAGAACTGCAATAAACTAGGGACAATGACTCTAGTAGAAAGTATGATAATACTGTATAGATGGAATTAATTTCTGACTATTCCAGTTTAAATTTAAGTTACGTAACAAACAAAATGACGCATGTGTTTTTCTTTTCCAGCTGCGCAATAAATAAAGAAAAAGTAGAACAAGAAAGAATATGAGAATTTCAATGATTATCATGGACGGAAAAAAAAGAATGATCTAGATATATATATGACGAATGTAGATGATCCAAAGAGAAGAAAAGAAAGAAAAAAAATAGAGAAACAAGAACATATACATGTACATATATAGAGAATGTAATATGTCTTGTTAAAGTGTTCTCTAACAATCATGCACTGAATTTTTCCGTAAATTCTAGAATTTACGAAATAGAATTTTTTTGAAATCGTTGATATTCGACTGAATGTTCTAAACGATTTCACAACAGTATATAAGACGAATCCGTTGTAGAAAATTGTCAGTTTTCAGCTTGAAGTGTTACAGTGAGCAGCTAATCTTTGAATTGAAGAATATAAATAGAATAATATTTTTGCAAAATTTCTAATTGTATTTTGATAAATATGAGTCGCTTCACAAATTTGACGCCAACAGTAAATGCATTTGAGGAAAATGAATTAGAAGATATTTCTGAAAGCGATGAAGACGATTCTCAAGGTGGTGCAGACGATTCGGAAGGTGGTGATGACGATTCAGAAGGTAGTGATGACGATTCTCAAGGTGGCGAAAACGATTCGGAACTCGATGATGACGATTCTAAAGGTGAAGAAGTTGGTAATATTACAACATTGTTGTCCTCATTAGTTACTAATTGCCCATGGACAGTAAATTTTTCTCCTCCTTCTGCACAAGAATTTCAATCGTCAAGAAAGTGTTATGACATATTACCATCATCGTCTACTCAAACATTTAGAAGACTGTTTTGTGATAAAGTGTTCAATCTTATTCTTGAACAAACAAACCTCTATGGGAGGGAGAAATGTGAAAAAGCAGGAGGTATGATTGACTGGACTAATATTACAACAGCTGAATTAGAACAATTTCTTGGTATCAACATCATTATGGGATATTGTAGAAATCCTTCAATTGATTCTTACTGGTCCACGGATGCATCATTACGAAATGAGAAGATCTCAACATCAATGTCTTGTAAGAGTTTCAAAAGAATCTTAAGAAATTTACATCTAGTCGATAATTCCAAAGCAGAGAGAGACGAAGACTTAAAATCCAACAAACTATACAAAGTGGTACATTTTCTCGAACTATTGATACACAATTTTCAGACACACTTCGACCTTGGACAAAAGTTAACAATCGATGAAATGATGATAAAGTTTAAGAGAAGATCCTCGTTCAAACAGTATATAAAAGAAAAACCAATCAAACGGGGCTATAAGGTCTGGGTACTTGCAGATGCATCGACTGGTTATGTATATAATTTTGAAATTTATACCGGTAAATCAGTAGAAAGACAGGGACCTTTAGGTGAACATGTCGTTTGGTCAATGACCAGAGGACTATCAATGAAATTTCATCATATTTATTTCGACAACTTTTTTACATCACCATTCCTTGTTGAACGACTTCTTGAACAAGGAATTTACTGCACTGGTACCCTTAGAACCAACAGAAGAGGTATTCCAGCTGAAATTATTCGTGATATCAAAATGGATCGTGGTGATGTTAAATTTTTAGCTAAAACTTCCATTTCAATTGTCAAGTGGATGGATCGAAAACCGATATACATCATGTCTAATTGTGCTGATCCAACAAATATGACAAAAGTTACTCGAAAATTGAAAAATGGGCAAACAATTCCGCTGCATTGTCCAGTAATGATCCTGGACTACAACTATGGAAAGGTTGGAGTCGATCGAGCTGATCAAAGAATTCAATATTATGCTGTTGATAGAAAATCAAGGAGAAATTGGCTCCGGATATTTTTCCATTTTCTGAATGTAGGATTATCAAATGCTTTTGTTATCTATCACAGAGACCATCCGGACGAAGATATGAAGTACTTGCAGTTTTTAGCTAATATTGCCGAAGAACTAATTGGTTACAGAACTTCAGTAAACAAGAGAAAAAGAAGACCTGTAACCAACGTTG